GAAAAAATAATAAAGAAATAAAATAAATAAAAAAGAAGAAGAAGAAGAAGAAGAAGAAGAAGAAGAAGAAAAAAAAAAGAACTTTTACATATATATATATATTCTATGTAATTCTTGCAATATTATGAGAAAACTTACGAGTGGGATAAATGCTTTCTTCAGAAAGGCCTGTGATAAACAGAAGATATGCTTGTTATAATAAAAAAATAATTCAAGATATATAATTATTAACTGAAGAAATTGGCTCATAAAATTGATTTTCTTCGAGAGTTTTTAAAATTCTAATATTATTAAAAATTAAATTTAAAATATAAATTGATTGATATTATACAATCATTTAGTATAATATATATCTGTATATATATATATATATATTAATTATTATTACATAATAATTATTATATATATATATATATATATATAATAAAAATCTTCTATATAAAAATCATTAATAAAATCTCGTTTGTTCGAAGAAGAGAAAAAAAAACAATGTTTACTCTTAGAAAAATGATAGGATCAATAGATATTTGAAATTGTTCAGAATTTTCTGAAAACTCCTGATAAAATGGTCTTTGAACTACCATCAGGATGTGAATGTTCACAATTTTGAACAGAAGAACAATTGGGTGAAGCAAAAGTAACATTATTAATTTCATCTTTCACCGGGTTATATAAACATTCGTTACTTTTGGATTTTTGATTGAACAAAGAATTTGGATCAAAGCTACGATCTAAAGATTGATCAGATTGATTAGACGATGTTTCTAATGTACTTATTACATTGTCAAGTGACATTGGAGGCCTATTTGATTTGTTCTCTTGAAAATAACTTAATGAATTTTTCGACCTAGAACTATCGTTCGAATGTTCCGAATCAAAATTACAAAGTTCCGATTCTAAACTCTCAAAGTCAATACCTTCGCGAGAATTAGCAGTTAAAAATTTCGGTACATTATTTTGATCAGAATCACGTCGATTAAATTGCGGAAATGATATCATATTTTCCAAAACGCTATATTCAACTTTAACAGTTGTTGATTTGTCATCAAGGGCATCACGACTACCCCAAGCTTTAACCTTATTAAACATTCTTAAAGGACTTCTAGAGACGCGTGATTTGTGATGCGATTTTTTACCTATCGAATTTTCCGGACTTGATTCTAAACCATCTGCATCGTTGATCTTAATGGTTACGGAATTTTTTCTTTCCGTACTACGTGGAGAATTTAATGAACTTTTTCTCGAGCCAGATGGAGAACGAAAGAAATCAGCTAATGATCCTAATCGTGATTCTGAACTATCTCTACGTTTGGATTCTTTTGATTTGCTTCTATCACGTTTTTTATTCTTAACACGTTTTGCAGTACCTACCAAAGTAGATGCTACACTTTGAACAAAATTTGTAGAATAGGAATGTTCTACTTCGTTTGGTGCATATTTTGGAGATTTAGATGACATTGTTTTTAAAACACTTCCACCCGTAGGCATTATCTTCGTATAATTATCTAAAATAATTGAGTGCTCTTCTGAAAAGTGAGTCTTCAAATTGTTCTGTTGTTTGTGCTCTATAACCATTGTTTCATATATATCATTATCCAACATACAAAAGTCCTCCCCTATATCATAATGTGTCGTACCTGTGCTCTGCATAATATTATCGGAATTTTTGGAAATATCATTATAACTGCATCCTGGCTGATTGTTTGCTATTAAATTATTTGCTGAGGAGTACAATTTTCTGGAGGAGGGGTTACCTATTTCTTGCAGAAGCGGGGAACGATGTGCGCTTGCCAGCAAAGCTGTACGCAGTGGAGTCTTTTCAAGATCTGGCGCAGAACGAGACCAACGTTTGCCACCGGGCGATGCAGGATTTGGTGGTTGTGTGATTATAGCTCCACGCTCTCGTTGATGAAGAGTAGATGGTCCCCAAGTCTTACCCTTAACTCCATCTGCTGGTACTATAGATGGAAGACAAAAAACAAAACGCTACTCTACTAATACTAGCTACAAATTTCCTATCCTTTTCTTTTATTACATTTATTATCTTTTATTCTTCAAACTTTATGTGTAATCTTAAACAAAATTTCATTCATGTAATTCTGTGTTCATAAATAATTATAGAAACTGATGTTCTTTATTTTTTTTTTTTTTTGTAAATAGAAGAAAAATAGAGGAACTACTAATAATAATAATAATAATAATTTACATAAATACTTTCTTTTGCTCACACCATGCTTGGCAAGAAAAATATAAAATAAGTATAAATATATCTACAAAGCGCAAACATTGGAAACATCTAATTATGTTTAAGAAATTATGATCATATGTAATAAAAACACATCTGTATAAATTTGAAAATAAAATAACATGAATAATACTGTGACTTCACAAAGTTCAAGATAATTTTTAACTCACATGCAATTGCACGAAGTCTTGGAATACTAGGTGAACCTGGTGGACTGTTTGGTTTTGATGGATTTCTACCTTTCCCTCTGTCTAAGGCCGTATGCTGAACAGTTATCGTATGACGAAAATCTGAATAACAGATATAACATATATGTTTTTTTTTTTTTTAGAATTACATAAACAAAACAATATGATTAAATGCAATAAATAAATAAAGAGATATATGATTTACCTGAAGGAGCACTAATATTACTTCCTGGTTCTTTTTTATTTAATTTTAATCTAGATTTTTTAAATTTACCACGCCTTTTATTCGGCGTAGGTGTATTTTGTTGTTGTATTATCATGACTGTTAATTCACGTTCTAATAAATCTATTTCACGTGCCGCTAATTCTTGTTCTCGTTGTCGCAAATTTTCTTCATGTTGTCGTTGTTGCACTTGTGCTTTTGTCAATTCCTCTTCTCTACAGCGCAATTCCTAAGAGAGCAATAAAAAGTATAATAATTTAATAAAACAAATCATAAATTGTTGTGCTTTAACATATTTCCCATTAAAAAATAATTTATAATTCATATTATTGTACACATCCTAGTTAAGAACACTTATCTTACCTCTTCAAGAGAACGGCATGCCTTTGTATAGCATTTAACATAATGATTAAATATTATTTTTGTATTTTCATTATACTACGTTACTATCGGAATATTATTTATGAATATAATACAATTATATTACCTTCTCTTTCATGCGCAATCCATGAAGAACTTGTTCAATTTCAAGCCTCCAATCTTCTTGCATCGTATGAAATGATTCATGTGGTGTTGCTGCAAATGCACTACGTACTTCGTCTAATGCTAATAAAATTTCCGCAAAACCAGGTCTGCAATGACTGTCTGATGACCAGCAAGCTGCATTGCAATTATAAGTATTAATATTTGTAATATTGTGTAAAACATATCAATGAGAATTATACTTTATTTTGAATGTTTACCTTCCATGAGACACCTCCAAGGTTGAGGACAAGTTGATGGAATTGGAAGCGTCAGTTTATTGACTGCAACACCATAAGCTACAGCTAATGCATCTATACCTTTATAGGGTGTTTCACCAGTTAACAATTCCCATAAAAGTACACCGTAACTATAAATAAGTAATTATTAATCTAATTGTTTAGATTTCAATGAAATCAATGTTAAATTAAAAAAAAAGTAAGTAAATTTGAAAACTAACTAACCTCCAAACATCACTAGCTTTACTAAAAGTACTTTTTTTAATAACTTCCGGCGCCATCCAGGCATATGTTCCTGCAGCTGACATACGTGTGGTTTTATAAACTTCTCTAGCCAATCCAAAATCTGTTATTTTTAATGTTTTATATTGAAGATCGTCATTTTCAATAGGTTCACTTAGTAACACTATAATAAAAACATATTTACAATTAAAATTAATTGTTGAATTTAATAATAATTATTATTATAGAAAAAAAATATGTATTAAATATAACACATAACCTAACCTACCATTAGAACTTTTTAAGTCTCTATGAATAAGACTGACAGGTGCTTTATTATGAAGATAATCCATACCACGTGCAATTTGAATTGCCCAATCTACAAGAACGTCCGGTCTGATTTTTCTACCACTTAAAACTCTATTTAAACTACCCCCTCTAGCATATTCCATGACAAGACACATGTTTGGCATTTTCAAGCAAACACCTTCTAATTGCACAATATTTTCATGTTTTAATAACCAAAATAATTTTGCTTCTTGTCTGACATTTTCTAATATTACACTAGGTTCTTCATCTGGATCCTGGCGTGCTGCTTTCACAGCTACTTCATGTTTTTGCCAAAACCCTCTGACAACATAAAAAATGGACAACATTAATTTACTTTTACTAATTAACATTATTCATAATAAATAGTTGTGATGTATCATACCTATACACTTTACCAAAACCACCAACACCAATAACTTCTTCTAATTGCAATTCTTCAAAATCTATTTCAATTGGTTGAACTTTATCAATCACTGATGATACCCTATCGATACTCTCTACCTCGGCAACAAAATTAGCTGGAAAAATACCAACTTTGCCATGAATTTTTCCAGTCCACCATCCCTCATCGCCAGAGATTTTCGAGTCCTTGGACAAAACCTAATACAATAGGTAAAACATTATGTTTACATTGAATATCATAAATATTGTTATGATATTTATATTTATACATATATATTGCATACCTCAACAGTTTCACCTCTTTGTAAAGATAACTCATCTTCGCCTTGAGCAACATAATCATATAGCGCAGTGAAAATAGTTGAGCTATTATCTTGTCGTGAACGAGATGATGAATGCGTTCCATGAGATGGACTAGTTTGTTGGGAAACAGTTCTTGCCGTACCACCACTGTGTGTATCAGAAACACTGCTGTCTGACATATTGTTACTGGACGTTCGTCCATATAAATATCCGTAACTAAAAGGGAACAAATCAAATCACTTTGATACGTAATAGCTTATAACAAATCAACCATTGAACTAATACAAAATGATGATCAACCTGGTGGAATGATTGTTCCCTCTGTTTCCAGATTGATATCGTGGAGACAAGGTGGCTGTACTAGAAGTATGAGAATATGTGGAGCCATTCTCTGGATAAAGTAAAAACCGCTCGCTCCGATGACGAGCATCTGGTTGTCCGTGGTCCATCAAGGTAGACAAGCCCCTTGCCGATAGCCCGGCCGGCGGCATATGGATCAACACTTTCCGTAGTCTTTTAGTCCGTGCAAATCACAGTCTCTTATTTTTGCACCTCTAGACAATAATTTGTCTCTTTGATTACACATCACACAAAACAAAAAAGTATTATCTCAAGGTTTCCCCATTGAAATGATAAATTAATTGAACAAAGTTATATCAATGAGTTTCTCTCATTTATTCATTTTGCATAAAGTCCTTAGAAAAGTTATCAGACTTTGAAAATAACTTTTTTACCTATGTATCATGTAACTTTTAATAATGCTCGTGTAAACGTGATACATGGTTGTGATACAAGTTGTTAAACATCATAGTATATGAATATTAAAATGAGAATTCGATATAACACACAATATTCACGATAATAACCGGGGTGAAAGAATGTAATCGTTATCGCTACCACCCCGTGAATAAAAACAATTTAGTAGGGGGCCGGCATTTTGGCTGAGGAATTCACCGACGTCACATAAGGGCTGTCAAAAGTGATGTCAATTTTGTTTTTTGTCACGACGTAATCGTTGGACAATAATTCGATATAGGTGGAATGACGAAAAGTTGTCTTGAAATTGTTCCACCGAAGTGTCGCGTCAGGGTGTGTATACCCACAAGCCACTGTTGACGAGAAGGATTCCTTTTCGGTTAAAAATCTTCTGGTTAGTCGAGGAATATGCCTTCTATGTGTTTCTCAAAGCATCGTGTTCCTCTCCACGAGGACGCGACGCTCCGCGTCAGTCCGCAGGTTAAACGATAATTCCACATTTAATAAGATCAAATTGACGAGCGCTCATAGTGATAACCTAACGGACGCCATGTTTCGTTTGACGGCCCCACCGTTGACGTCGTGATACGTTCGACCGCGATTCACGGGTGGATATCCGAAAGGCTTTCCAACTTTAATGCAACTGCGATTCTTCGATAGTGTACCATCGACACAGAACAGAGCCTGTTCTCAATGCAACGATGACAATTCGAACGGCGGCCACACGAAAACGACGACACTATATCGATCTATTTTTCAAAACGATCTCACACGTGTTTTCATACCCTTGGTGCTTGACATATAATACTTTTATTTCATTTTCAATATAAAAAATACGATAAACTTATGATTATAACTGTTGTTGTATTTGTCATTAGAAAAAGTTATATATCCACTCTCTAACCATGTGGTTTATGATCGCGATCATCTGAAAAATGAAGATGGCTGCGGAGCCACTGAATCGTGTGCGCCAAATCCATTGATTAATAAGAGAAAGACCATGTTGAGATTCGTTGTCACATTCTACTTTGCCACGCGTTTTTTCTTATAGAGAGGATAAGACAAATATATAACCGTTGATCGTCAAGTGATGGGAAAATGGTGAAAAAGTGCTTTTACTATTGGTATGGGTTCGCAAACGCTGGAAATTTTAAGACAAGGCGTCTGGGCGAGCCTAACAGGAGGCTGGTTTTACGATCCACATCTCGATGTTTTCTCAAATACCTTTCATCTCTATGTCTGGTTATTTTTACTTTGTCTTCCATTTACAATATATCTCGTAAGTAATCATTGTATATGTTATTCATTCTACAATCAATAGTCTAAGAATAATAATATTTAGATCTTGCTTATCATTGGTTAAGACAGTAATACACACTACTATCTTATATGTGATTATATTTACATATTGTTTAATGTTTTAATTACTCAATGATTATTTGATTAAATGTTACATTAAAAATATTTTATTTTAGTACTTTCCACCAACATTATATGTTTGGTTAGCTTATTGTTCATCCATTGTCATATTGTTTGGTACAATAAAGTGCATAAATCATGCATTGCATTGTGTCTATGATACTACTGAATGTTTGGAAGAACCAGGTCAATCTATTAGTCAACAAAAATCTGAAAGTGAGAAAAAACGTGTGGCACGTAATAAACATAGAGAACAATTACAAGACCAAGTGGATCATGGTATAGAACTTCAAGTTTTAAATGGTATTTGTATGGAAGATTTCTTTATTTTTCTATTATATAAGTGTATGAGATCAACAAATTTATTTTTCTTATATAATGTTGAAACATACTTTGCTTTTTTTTTTTTTATCTTATTTCTGTATTTTATTGTTATTTTAGTTTTATTTCTGTATTATTAAAAATGAATAATTATGTCAATTTTGTAATGAATTTTATCAATTATTATTATATCAATTGGCATTTATAGGTAAAACTGATACTCCACCCGTGGAATGTTCATCACGTAATTCTTTTATCGAGTCCAATATACAAAATGCAGATGCTGATAGTATAACATCGGAATATAATAGAGAAAAACCTAGTTCTACAATAGATTTAAAAGTTGAAATACATAGAAAAAATAGTTCGGAGAGTTCAGAAGAAGCACAGCAATTAAGCAAACCCATGGTAACAAGTATTAATGTACACGAAGCGGAATTAGTTTCTGCTCAATACCATGAACCACGTTTTAGGAATATTATAAATGGTAATGAATTAATAATTATTTACAGTGTGTCATATTAAAATCATTTTGAAATATTACATATAATGATTATATCTAGAATGGAGATTGAAACGACAAAAATGTGTAGTAATAGCAGAAGAAGATCGACCAGGTCCACGTAAATTGTGTAGACATTCATCCGAAGATTCTAGAAATCGTCATTCAAAACAGGGTAGCCTTGGAAAAACTGGATCTGAGAGCCAGATAAAACAAACTAGTTCCTTAGAATTAGAACATCATGGTGATGATTATCCTTATTGGAAATCAAATCAAAGTGTTCGAAGACTTAATTCAAACTCAATTCCAATGGAAACTCACTTAATAAATGACCACCCACAGAGTCTTGAAATAATATCGAAGAAAGAAGATGCGGATAAAAATAAAATTTCTTCACATCCTCAATCATTAGAGGTAATAAATTCACTTTTTCTTTCTATTTATATTTTACATGTTATATCTATTTCATTATTTAATATTATTGTATTTGAATTATCAGGTGATTACTAAAAAGCCACATCAACAACTTATTCATCCACAAAGTCTTGAAACTATTGGTGCCACTAACAAAAATGTAAATATTACAGATGATAATAATCTACCTTTACATCCACAAAGTCTAGAAACAATTAATACTAAAAAGGTGTGTTCAATATAGAATTTAAATGCAATGACTCCTTGTAAACATTTCAAAGTATCGGTAACCTGTTATTCATTTTATAAAGGTATTACCTCAGAATACTTTAACAAGAAATCAATTACAATTATTACCATATCTCAGCTATGGATCTGAAATTGTCCATCCAATAGCAGAACAAAGTGATGAACAGTTTGCTAATGAAAGTTCAGGAGGCTTTAGTCTTGGTGACTCTTATAGTCCATTATTGACAAGAAAAACAACGAATGACAACACTACCACTTCTAATCGTGACAGAAGTCTTAGTACTAGTAGATTTGACGATAGATTTTCAAGGTAAATATTTAATAATCAAAGTCTAAATTTTTGTATGTGTAGCAACAATATAAGATTACATTATTGTTTTCAGATTTAATGGTGATACTATAGTTGACAATGACTCAGCGAACTCTCGTGACGCACTTCTTGAAGAGCCCAAATCTAGTGTTAAAAGAAGATATAGTAATGCGAGTCAAAGTAGTCATGAATATTCTGACGGAGAGAGACATAAAGATAAACGACATGATAAAACAAAAAATATAGATGATCCTCAAAACTCGGGCAGTGTAGTTGGAATAGATTGGTTATTTGAATGTAGTGATTATCCAATTGAACCATGGACAAGTAAAAGTAAGTACAACGGATAACACTTCCGTTTAAAAAGGACTGTCAAGGGGTAACGCTTTTTAATTTTCTGTGTTGCATTATTATCTTCTTTTAATTTATGCTGCCAGTATTTTGGACTTTAACTCGATCTGATGATACGGATACATCAGAAAGTCTACAGACAGCTAGTACTGATTGTAAGTTTGCGGTATTCCAAATTTAGTATATGCGAATGTAGAAAAGAAAATAGAATGATTGGTATGAATCGTCGATCCATTGAACTTTCCTATTTATCGAATGTTAAATAAAATGAAGAAATTTGTTTGTTTTTTTTTTTACAGATCTCCATACAAAAGAACCAGATTCAGGTTCATCTAGTACAACAACTTTAAGCATAGAAAATGAAGTTAAACGAAAATTACTTCCACAATTGGAAATAGATAGTAAACGTCATCAAGGCGCCATTCCAAAGCAAAGCCGTCCAAAACTTACCCAAGAAACGACAGATGACAACATCTCTTGCATTGAACAAATCAGACCGAAACCAAAACGAACAGTGGAAATACGTAAAGAAAAAGATAGAAGAGAAACTAAATTTGAACAAACTACTGGATCAAATAATGAATTGAGCACATTATTACCTAGTCCCGCACCACCATTATTGGCTGCATTATTAAATTCTGGCAGAGATTTGTCTGCTCAGTCTGGTACTGTATCTGATCTCAGACCAAACCATAATTCTGAAACTAGAAATTCTCGAGCAAGACAGAGCCGTACGAAACGTTCGAATAGAACTCATAGAAGGCCAAGGCCTAGTAGAGACGATAACGTTGTACCATTAACTGCTCTATTTGGTTTAATATCTAATGGAGAATGTCATTTAGCTACTAATCATAACGACACATCTGAAGGGGCTGTGCATTATTTTCGAGATGATAATGGAGGATGGTTGGCATATACCTTTGACGAAAAAAGTTCTGGTCTTGCTACAGCAACACCAATTCCTTCAAGTAATAATGAAAAATTATGGAATACTTTATTGCGTCAACAATTTAATCAAAATTTACATTACGATGCAAATTGGGAATTAACAGATTCATTAAGCAATAGTTACAGCAGTTTATCTTTAAATTCTGCTGGTTTGACAGTAATCATAGATACACCACCTGTTTTATCAAGTCCAGCGAGTAATCAGACCAAAATACAAAATTCCTTACCATCAAATTTAATTTCTTCAAATGCTGAAAGTTCTAGTCAATGTCCAGTAGGAAATCCAGAATGTGATCAGCTTCATCATACTCTTATTTCGGATTCTATAACAGATAGAAATCGGAGATTACATAATTTATTAGGAAATTTTAATTTATATTCTTATTCGGCGGATTCCAATAATCGTGTACCGGTATTAACATTACCTACACATCAAGAAGCTGATATAAATTCAAGCTTATCTTGGAATCGTTTTATAGATGGTTTAGATGGTTCTGATACAAAACCTAAACAAACGAGGCATTATTATAAATGGAAGATAGGAAAATTACCACATGTTAAAATACGATTTGATAGATTGGCATTGTTAGCTTTACTCGATCGTAATTTAACTGTTATAGAAACAATTGTTTCTACATTATTGGCTGTGATTGTTGCTGGTTTAGGTTTAATTTTGCTTCAGCAAGGATTTTATCGTGATATATTTGCGTTTATGTTTTGTTTTGTAACTGCTGGTTGTCAATATTCTTTATTAAAATCAGTTCAACCAGATGCGGCATCTCCCACTCATGGTTTTAATCGTATCATAGTATTTTCTAGGCCAGTGTATTATATACTATGTTCGGGATTTATTTTAATATTTAATGAATCTTTAAGAAATTTTAAAAGTTCGGAATTTCGTGTATATGGTTTTCGCGTTATCGATTGTGATATTATATTACAAATAAGAAATGTTTTATTAATTTTTCTTCTTTGTTTTCCAATTGTATTCTCATTAGGTTTATTTCCACAGATCAACACTTTTCTAATGTATCTATGTGAACATTTAGATATCCATTTATTTGGTGGAAATGCTGCTACCAGTTTGGTCTCTTCTATATACTGTCTTGCTCGTAGTATAATTACTGTTACTGTATTGTATGGATTTGCATATGGTGCTCTTACTGAACCGAAATCTTCACAACATATCTTATTTTCTATCTTTGCTGGATTACTTGTAGCTGTATCTTATCATCTAAGTAG